GTCAAGTGTCTGACACAGGTACTTGCCTCGCCTACTAGAAAGATGGTCTACATTGTGTTTCTGGAAGAAAAATCTCGAAAACCTGCTTATGTGACAAGGTCCGAGAGAGTTGCGCAAGAACATCAAAATTCTTGGTTTGTTCCGGAGCGATTTCGGACAGGTTATCCCGTGTGAAATACAGTGGTTGTCCGTCCACGCCACGTGGCATCGATGCGATTCGCGGCGGTAACTCAACGTGCTCCTGAAGTAAGAGAAGATTCAACTACACTGTTTTTGGGCAAATTTGTTACGCCGCGTCGCTTTTGGTCAATTTACGGCGAATTGAATGCCGTCTTCGAGCTTTTCCCCTATTTTCAAAACATCAAATCTCTAAACCAGTTTCTGTGGCTTTAGCACCAAGTTACTTAAAAGTATATGTCTGTACACAAACACAGTATACGCACACACCACACACAAATATGCCATAGAAATGTACCTGTAAAAGCACACATTTAACGCACGAACAAACCTATACACAGATAAGCATACATACGATTTCGTCTTAAACAGTTTTGCCGCATCATTAATGCAAAAACTTATAATAAGTGGGGTCTTTAAAAAAGTTGCCAACACCGCTTTTTCTGCCCTCTGCCTCTTACGGAAACACTGCAGAAATATTTTACTTTGACAAAATTCAGGCTTAACTGCTGATCTCTAAACTGTTACCAATTCCCTGCATGGATTCGAGTTTCATGCTGCTAAACCGAGAAGCATTCGACCACCTGCAACTTCCGAATAGCATCCGTTGTGCCGGATGCCTCGACAATGAAATCAAGCCAGTGCTTGTAATCTTGGTCCCCGGCGGTTTTCAGCAGCCGTGGCAAGCTGGTCTTTGCTTCCATTCCTTTTCCCTCATTATGGAGGCTGAACAGTGTCGGCGATAAGATGTTTACCTGAATCATAACCAACATCTGTTGTCAACATTATATAGGAAGTATTTACTGGAACCTAGGTACGATGAACTAAACTTGAAGCAATCAAATCGTTAACAGACGATGCTTTAAAGTTTAACAAGTTGTGAGTGCTTTGGGCTATTCTTTTTGGAGAGGGAAAGATGTCGGCTGGAATGTCATTGTAGCACTACGGGACCGCTGAAATTGCAAAATTCTAGCATGCATGATTACCGTAAATTTTAGCTGTTGTAGACCATTCATTAAGGACGTAGGATGGTCAATGAGTAGATGGGAGAGGAGAGGATGACGAAATTGCATAAAAATTTTGCCTGCCGGTGTTTGAGTACCACAGCATACTTAAGAATTAATTTGAAGTCTTTCGATCGTAAGCGAATACGACAAATCTCCATAAAATTTCAACTCTCCAGTTTTATCAGCTCTCAAGTTAACAATTTTCCGGCCTGAAATCTTGCGTGTCTTGTACATGAGCGCGAAAGTTTATACCAAACTAAAACACTAGGAGCAGCGTGTCGAGTTGAAATATTCGGACAGACACAAATGCGCGTAGATACACACAGTGAATCGTCACAGTATGCGAGCTAATCGGTCTCTTTTTATGCGTTTTTGCATAATATGCAAATGCGAAACGCATATTGCGACGACTCCGGTGTGTGTGTGTGTGTGTGTGTATGTGTGTGTGTGCGTGTGTGTGTGTGTGCGTCTGCCCGGGCATTTCAACTCGGCACCCAAGCAAGCTTCGGCGA